AAATGTCTCGCGAGTGCTGATCAGTGGTTGTGAGAGATGTCTTCGAGTCAGACGCTGGTGGCGATCGGCGGCAACCCGTCATCGGGAGTGCCATCCGTGCAGTCCTCGCAACCCGTGGATCACGAGAAGATCTATCAGTGGATAATCGAGTTGTCTTCGGCGGACACGCGAGAGAACGCTCTGTTGGAGTTGTCGAAGAAGAGGGAAGTGGTGCCGGATTTGGCGACAATGTTGTGGCACTCGTTTGGTGCGATCGCAGCCCTCCTGCAGGAGATCATCACAGTCTACCCCACAATAAACCCGCCGACTCTGACCGCCCATCAGTCCAACCGAGTGTGCAATGCGTTGGCGCTCTTGCAGTGCGTGGCATCACATCAAGAGACCAGAACAGCCTTCCTCTCGGCAAACATACCACTCTTTCTCTACCCATTCCTTCACACCACCTCCACATCCAAGACCCGCCCCTTCGAGTACTTACGGCTCACGAGTCTTGGAGTGATCGGCGCTCTCGTCAAGACCGACGAGCAGCAAGTGATCAACTTCTTGCTCACCACCGAAATCATACCGCTTTGTCTAAGGATTATGGAGAGTGGCTCTGAATTGTCCAAAACTGTGGCCACTTTTATACTGCAGAAGATCCTGTTGGACGAGACGGGCCTCTCTTACATCTGCCAGACGTACGACCGCTTCTCACACGTGGCTATGATTTTGGGGAAAATGGTTCTCTCCTTAGCTAAGGAACAATCGGCGCGACTCTTAAAACACGTCATCCGATGCTATCTTCGCCTCTCGGATAACCCGCGCGCCAGAGAAGCCCTCCGACAGTGTCTTCCCGATCAGCTCAAAGACAACACTTTCGCCAATTGTCTCAAAGACGATAAGTCCACTCGTAATTGGTTGACACAACTGCTTAAGAATCTGGAACAGAGTCCCGGAGGTCTTACACCACAACCGCAACAATAAATGCATTGATTGTGAAATTGAAACGTATTTTTCTCTATCTATTCAACGATCGTATTTGCATTGAATCCATTGAATCCATGGAATCGATCGCAACAACGATTGTCTTGTATTATATTACCTTCAAAGCTAAATATATCCAAAAACTTAAACACTTAGCGAATGCAATATAAGCCCTCTTTTATTGTATACAATACTGCTTTCTCTCTAATATCTACTTTCTATTCAATATTAGTTCAATTGTTTTAGATTTTTCAGATAAATGCCATTTTAATTATATGACTTGAAATTGAAATCTTATTATTTTTCACATTTGTTAACCGCTGTTCAAATTAATTGTATTATTATTATTCAAAATCTGTATTTGTTTTATGAATTAAAAGTTGTAAAATATTTTCAAACTTTTATCTCACAATCATTTCATCGGAAGTTTTTATAGTCGGTCTATAAATAGCATTAATGTGTGAATTCGTGTCAAATAATTGAACTTACTTTACATGACATTAATGATTATTTTTGGTGACAATATTTTGTGGCACAGATAATGAGATTTGACAATTTTAGCGATTAGTACAGTACAGTATGACATACTGACTCGTGATTATGTTATAGTGATACAAATTATGTTATGTAATATTGTGTAACATTGCAACGAGACTGTCATAGACTACATAACGTTAGGCAGTATTACTGAAGTACTGCGAATTGGGTACAAAAGTAGAGTGCGATTGGGTCTAAGAATTGGTACTTTTTTAGTCAATCAAACACTGCTTGCATTGACTTTCGTATGACTTATGCCTGCATTGCATCACAAATACAATGGCATTGAGTGCGAGACGAGTGTTAAATGTGTTGACAATTATCGCAGGGATTCGTGAAAACTCATGAACACTGACTCACATTTGGCTCGACTTTCACTCATTGACTCATATTTATTACAAACATTGCATCCATTCGTGTGTCAAATGAGACAAACAGTGCACACATTCACGCAATTGTCACTCATTTGGTAAACATTGCGTAAACAAGTGTCCAATTGGTGTCCAATTGGTGTCCATCAGTGATCAGCCATCCATCGCAATGTTATCCTCATTGGTGGCGTGGGTTCTCAACTCATATATCGGCGAATACTTTGGAAATGTCAATACGGATCAGCTGTCCATCGCATTGCATAATGGTATACCATATATGTCTCATTGATCATTGATTGGACACAATGTATTGACTCATTGGTGACCATCAGGTGAGGTCGAGTTGGACGGACTGCCACTCCGGAAGGACGCCCTCAAACATCTCGGACTTCCTCTCGAGATAATCAATGGTTTGCCAGTGTTTGTGGTATTTCGCGAAGACATTAATTATCTCTTTTTATTTGTTAGGATTTATCGGTAAAATTAGTCTTAAGATCCCTGTCTATCGCCTGAAGAGCGAGCCGTGGGTTATATCTATTGATGAGCTCTTCCTAATCGGTCGACCCATCACTGACTTTAGTGTATGTATTCGTGTGTTATATGAAAATAGTGTTAAATATGATGTCAAATATGTGCGATTAGTATAACGAAGACGAAGAGGCGAAGAGCGAACAGGACCTGAAGAACAGTCAGTTGGACTCAATAGAGTCGCGTTGGAAAGCCATTCACGAGTCGACAGAGAAGGAGTCGCAGTCATATTACGCCTCCTCTTACCTCTCGTGGCGTAACTATGGCTCCAATTTTGTGAGTAATATCATCGAAAACGTTCAGTTGAGGATCAGATCCGTTCACATCAGATACGAAGACAGTTCGACAATCGCTGGCATCCCATTCGCCGCCGGAATCATCATTAAGAACCTCTCGGCTCACTCTACGGACGAGAATTGGGTCCCGAAGTATGTGACGAGAGATAACTCAGAATACATGCGAAAACTCTTAGAACTCGAAGGTTTCAGTGCCTATTGGGACACAAATACACAACTCTTTAGTCATTTAGATTTGCCAGAAATGGTCATCAAAATGCGTCAACACTTGGACAGTGGGTGTGATGTGAGCGGCACTCTTGTCGATCACGAGTACATTCTGGCGCCCGTCAGCGGTAAGGCTTATCTCAAGCGGAACTGTAGTGAAAAGCCATTGACATCGCGTTCAGTGCCTCGAACTGTGATAGACCTGCAGTTAGATCAGGTGCCGGTCCTCTTAACTGCCATTCAATACAAACATATTATGGAGTGGAGTATTGCCTTCAACAGAGCCAACACTTTGTGGAAATACAGGAAATGGAGACCTGTTGTGCCCATAATCGGTAACTCAAAGCTCTGGTGGAAGTTTGCAGTCGACGCTAATATGCGTTCCTATCGAGAGAGAAGACGACGCCGCGACTGGATATTCATTATTCAGAGATCACGTGATATCGTCAAGTATTGTCAGGTTTATGCCACACACCTCTTACATCCAGAAGCGCTCACTCGAGACATGAGATTAGTTAAGGAAAATATAGAATACGAGCTATCGTTTGAAGAGATCTGTTGTTTGCGTGAAATTGTGTTTTCCAAGTGTGATATTAGTGAACAAACCTGTGAAATACAGGTCTCTAATGGAAACTATTTATCACTAAACTATTGGTTTCCCAATTGGTATGATATTCCTGACGATAAAACCGACACAAGTGTTGAGTCCCAAATGACACAACAAATGAATGGTTTGAGTGTAGCTAATGTCGAGAGCCATAACTCTGTGACTAATTTCTCGACAATTGACGACATATTTGTGACCAGAGATGCCGTCTTCGGACAGTTAAACTTCTCGATAACGAACGCGTCGTTTGCTTTAATGACATTTTCCGACAACCCCTCTTCGCCTGCCTTTGCGTCCGAGAAATTGATGAATAATTTAATGGAATTTGAGTTTTCAAACGTCAAAATCGGTGTTGAAATTTGTAACTCAAATCTCTGTGACTATGAATCCAATACTTGTACTGACATTGTTTTTCGGACACAAAAGTCTGTGCCGAACACCGAGGAGTCCAACATTCAAATGAATCTTCTGTTTGAGTGCCATTACCTAAATCTAGTGCTCTTAAGGACTAAAAGTGCGATAATCGCTGAAAACGATGCCTCGAAGTTGGCCACCGCTTCCCTCAGCGGGTGTCACATCACAATCAAAATTGCTTCCAATGAGATAGGAATTGATGGACAACTCGATGGTCTCCAAGTCATAGACCTCGTGACCGATCAGACAAATAATAAGCACAAACGTGTGGTCAGTATTGGTCGCGAGATATCTCTTAATGACTCGTTTAGGGAACCGAAAGCCTTTAAAATGGTTTTGAACGACAACTCCGATGAAAAGGCACTCTTTTTCTCAATCCGTCGACTGTTTGGTGAAAATATACTTAAAATAAACGTCGAAATGGCATCTCTTTGTTACGTCCACTCGAGTCGATTGGTCTACGAGTTGGCCCTCTGTTTACAAAACATCAAGAAATATATGACTGTTTTCTCCGAGAGAGTGAAGGCCGCCGCCACTGAAGTCGCCTTAGGAATCGTCACGAAAACTAAATCCGTCTCATCTTTACGCTCAAAGACATCCTCCGCTTTCATTGAAGACTTCCGACTGAATGTCTATTTGCAAACTCCAGTCATTATACTCCCGACCTGTCCTTCTAGTTATGAAGTAATGGTCGGCCATTTGGGACACATTTCGCTCAAAAACCACATCTGTTCCGATGTGCGACATCTCAAGACTCCGAGCCAAAGAAATCACGTGATATTCGCCGAGATTAGAGATTTGAGTTTATATTCTCTCGACTGCTCGAAGAATATTAAGAAAGGCAATCATTTGATGAGTTTGAGTGTCGAAGAACTCTATTCGTGTAAACCGTTCGGCATTTCTATACTTCAGGAAACCATTATTGAGATCAGTGTCGAGAATAAGGAAGTGGCGCCTAAAGTGGACAAACTCAGTGCTGAGAGCGGTCTGAATGCAGTCACATCTGTGGCTGAATTAAATGCCACCAAATTCTCGGTGAATGCATCTTTATTGAGATCAGTGTCGAGAATAAGGAAGTGGCGCCTAAAGTGGACAAACTCAGTGCTGAGAGCGGTCTGAATGCAGTCACATCTGTGGCTGAATTAAATGCCACCAAATTCTCGGTGAATGCATCGAAATATCACAGCATTCATAAAGAGTTGGTCCTCACGTTTGAAATCCCAAACATCAACTTTCGCCTCTCATATAACGATGCGCTCATGTTTTGGCACATTATTAACTCAATTTCATATAACCCTCACAATAGTGTTAGTGATCATGACAAATGCAATAATCATTCATCAGATGGATGCGCATCGCCATCGAGTACCAGACATTTGGAGTCTTTAGGATTCGCTTACGAAGACTGTGTTAAAGCGCTGGAAGTCTGCGGCGGAGACATCCGTGAATCTGCCATTTGGTTAGCGAAATACAAATCGGAAAAAGTGACCGAAAATGTGGCCCATAATAGCGTCGGCCGAAAGATTTCCAACAATCAGTCATTTTATTCGCGATTCTCTATAATTGAAGTGCGAATACAAAACGGAAGTCTTTGTCTCATCGATGATTGTAACGAAACCGATGTCCCGCTTCTGGAGCTCAACACCAGTGACTTCCGACTTATGCAACACAATAGTGAACCCATTTTGGAAGGATTCTCTGAAATGTCATTCTCTTGTGATTACTTCAATAGAGCGCTGTCTGGTTGGGAACCATTCATCGAGAAATGCAAATTCCAATTGATTTGGAATGTCATCGAAAGACCATTTCATACGAAGACATTGGATTCGCATAAAAAGAAAATCTCCTTTCATTTCGACGTCAATCAGTGCTTTAGTATTAATATAACCAACAATTTTGCGGAACTTATCAAAAATGTGAGCCAATCGTGGATTCAAGACATACAGAATTTTGTGAATATGTCGCCCACGAAGAGGGCATTCCGTCACAGAACGCCATTCATTCCGTACGCCATCAAGAATGAGACGGGATGTCGACTGAGGTTTCACTTGATTCAAGACTCGGATCAGTCCAACACTTTTTACGACCAAAAGTCATCTCCCTTTTCGAGTCGACCCAATTCTACTGAACCGCAAATGAATTGGATTTCAGTGGAACCCAACGAAACGATTCCTTTCAGTTTTGACTTGACTTCGAGAATACTGACCAAAACCAGACACAGCGACTCACACGTGGAAAAGGCCCACAAAATTGTCGTAGTGGTCGACGGCTGGAAAGCCGTGTTTCCCGTCACCATCAATAGGGTTGGCATCTATTTCCGAGAGGCGATATCTGAGGTGTTTATCAACCAAACGGCGAGAATTGTCTTCTCAATTGATTTGGAGGCAAAGGCCCGCAAATTGGTTACCATTCGGTCGGCTCTTCTCATCTCTAATAAGACTTCGAATGCAATCGAACTTAACTTCCAGAACACAACCGAGAGTTTGTACATAAACTCCAATTCTATGATACCGGTGCCCTTACGTCTCGTGCGACACAAGATCCAAGTGCGTCCCTGCGATGTGGGTGTCAGTGCGTGCGACACACCTCTCAATTGGGAGCACGTGCGCCGATGCAGCGAAACCAGTAGTGAATTACAGATTTGTACCCCGATTACAGTGACCCGTAATCAGCACTCATCCTATTCGACGGCTTCCTCCTATCGGTACTGTGTTTTAGTCGAAAGAAATCGGTTTCCTTTGGATATCTCACCGCAAGGTCTGGGCCTACAGTCATACAAAGCCCAACCCGCGCACACTATAACACTCGTACCGCCCCTACAACTGGCAAATCTCTTACCCTATGAGTTACGGTTTCACATTTCGGGCACTGCTGTCATCGGAACCATAAAGTCTGGCGAAGACGTGTCCATTCATTACGTCAATCCTTTAGAACCGTTTACAATTGAAGTGTCGATTGAGAATTACCCCAATTGTAGACCTTTAACCATAAATCCCGGGGCTACTCGTGATTACGTAACACATTTGGATTTGTATGACAGCTATAAACGATTGCTTGTTTTGCACGCATTGGTCTCTCTGGTGAACGGTTCCACTTCAGCACTGGTCGTCAATATATACTCTCCCTTTTGGATCATTAATAAAACCGGTCTTCCGATTATTGTGCGACAAGAGGGCGCATCCGAGTCTTCCGGACAATTGCCTGAACACGAAATCGCGCGAAGCATTTCTCCCCTTCTGTTCTCATTCTCAGAGCCCGACTCCTCTTACATGTTCTCCATAAGGGTCGGGAAGTCGAAGGGACTCAACACCCGGTGGTCGACACCATTCTTCTTAGAAAAGGGAATCTGTTTCCGCAGTCTTAGAGTCGGACAAAGCGATCCCCAAAAGCCAGACATTGTGTATGAATTTGGAATCGATATAAGGAATGGTAGGGATCGGTACAGAGACACCAAAATAGTGACGATAACACCGCGCTATCAAATCGAGAATCTGAGTTCTTATCGGTTAGAGTTCGCACAGAAGTGCATGACTTCGACGCCGTTGAAGGCCGACGACCGGCCGGTTAGCATTTTGCCCAAATCTAATGTAGCGTTTCATTGGCCGCGAACAGATCGCGACCGCCTTCTCTGTGTGCGCATCGCATCCCTTCCCAACTGCTTCTGGTCCGGGGGTTTCGCTGTCGAGCCCTCCACTTCATTCCACCTCAATATTCGCGATGACAACCGAAAGTCACACTTCATTCGCGTCGAGATTCTCATCCAAAACGCCACGTTCTTCATAGTGCTGACGGACGCCAATAACCTCCCGCCGCCCCTTCGCATCGAGAACCTGTCGCACGTGTCCATTGAGTTCTTCCAAACCAATACCACTCACTCTTATATGAAGACTTTGATGAGACCTAATACACACCTGTCGTACGCGTGGGATGAGTCCACTCTGAAGCCGCACATCACTGTTCGGGCTCCGGGAGGTTCTGTTTCGACGTACGATATGATGAGTTTGGCTCCGGGCGATCAGCTCACGTATGAGAACTTTATTTATATTGCATTCAGCGCTACGTTTGGAGACGAAGAGTCCGATGACGAGAAGGTGAGCGTCGGCTCACACTTCACGAGAGGAAGCATTAAACGGCAGTTAGTATTGGATGTGATTGAGGGCTCAAATCTCATTGTTTTGGCCCCAAAAGAACGCGGAAAGAGATCCCAATTATGGCGAATTGATTCATATAAACGTCTCATACATGAAGGCTCGTCACCACCAGTGGATCCAAACGATCCCAAGAAAGCATCGTTTCATAAAACCAACAAAAACTCGTTGGTGTTGGACATCGCCAACACGTGTCCAGTGCCCGGAGAATTCACTCCATTAATGCTCCGTAACATTGACCCCAAAAGGGCTTTGACTCAGACGTGGACTTTCACTCCGGACGGACGCCTATGCTGTGAATACCCTAATATGTGTGTCCATCCGAGGAATGGTATCACTGGCTTACGAGTTGGAGAAAAGGCAGTATTAGGTCTGATGCGATCCGAGAGTAATATGACTCCAATTGATCAGTCAATTATTGCTAAGAGAATGAGGAAAGGGTCGGGAGTTCTGTCGGTCTCTGTCTTAGCTGAGGGGCCAACCCGTGTCTTGCGTATCAATGATGTCAAAAATCGCGACAGAATTTCCACGACAAGTAGTTCTCTCATTAAAACTGATGACAAAGATTGCGAACACAAAGGATTGCTTAAGAATATTGAGTTAAGCTTTTTATTCACTGTCGAAGAGATTGGTCTCTCGATTATCAATCATTTGAATGAAGAGCTCATTTACATCTACTTTCAAAACTCCATTTTCGACTTCAACTTCAATTCAGATGAATGTGACTTTAATTCTTCGATTCAAAACTTTCAGGTATTCATTGATATTTACATTAAACATATGAAAAGCTAACAAATGTGTTGACGTATCCGTCCAACAGATCGATAATCAGTTGAAAGGAGCCGAGAAGTCGGTTATTCTTCAGGTTAATCCCGCCATAAATAGCGTACAATTGCCGGCAATTTCCGTAACCGCCCAAAAACAGTTCACTTCTAATGTTGAGGCCAATGTGTTTAAGGTATTGAGCGTTGCATTCAATTATAGAAAACAGTTGTTAATAACTGATTATTTGATTGTTTTACAGAACTTTCAGATATCAATCAAAGATATGATATTCAATTTGGAAGAGATATTGTTATTAAAAATATTGGAATTCATAAAATTCGATGTAATGGTCAATGAATTGGATCAGATCCAGAACCAAGAGAACACAGCCGCCAATCGGGCCGTGTCCTCCATTTTGGCCAAATCGTCGCGTTATTACTTCACTATATTTTTGATACAATTATCTCAAGTAAAACTCAGTGTCTTTACGTCCAGTCATTTGCCGAAACTCTATAACAAACTCAAGAAGAAGCTAAACATCAAATTGATTCGCTTCGAAGACGCGACCGTCCATTTGGCGCCCTTCAAGAAGGTCTACACATTGATGACCAAAAACTTCTTATTGGACTCCATTTACCAGCACTATAGGGCTGAACTCAAGAGTCAAGCGGCAAAGATCTTGGGTTCAGTCGACTTCTTAGGCAATCCATTGGGTTTCATGAATGATGTGACCGATGGTCTCAATGAGTTCGTTGAGGGCAACTTCGGTGGTCTCATATGGAACGTAGCGCACGGCATATCCGACTCGACCGCTAAAGTGACCTCCATTTTGTCGGACAGTTTGGGTGTCGTCACTATGGATCAAAGACATCAAGAGATGCGCAAACGTATCAAACAGGAGAGTAACAGTCATTTGTCTACCGGTTTCAAGGGTTTAGGGGTCGGACTACTGGGAGGTTTCACGAGTATTATAACTCAGACCTATGAGGGCGCCGTCAAAGAAGGAGTTTCGGGTATATTCGTGGGTTTAGGCAAAGGACTGGTCGGCACGATAACTAAGCCGGCGGTCGGAATGTTGGACTTCGCAACGGGCGCTGCCAGTGCTGTGCGAGAGTCGACGCGCAAGATATCAAGCAATCACAGCACAGTTATGGGCAGACGTCGACCGCCGAGAGTGAACTCAATAAATGGTTTAATTCTGAAATACGAGAGGTTTCAGGCAGAGGGACAGGAATTCTTCTACAGCTGCGGACTAATCAACGACAGGGAAGAGTCGGAAACATTTGTTGCGAAACAAGAATTAATTCCCAAAAGTCACTCCGTTTTGATTACAAACCAAAGAATAATATTCATTCAGACCATGAAATTTGGAGAATCCGTTGAATACAAGATCGAGTCGACGCTGGACTTCGATAGACTCGACAAATGTGTTGTTTGGAGCAATAAATCGGGTTTCATTAGCAACTCAACAGACTTTTATGTGGTCGCCATTAAAAGCAACTGTAAATCCAATGATATTTCGCACACAATTAATATGAGTCCCAAATACCTGTGCGATAAAGAAGAGACGGCTAATAGTATATGTAATCAAATAAATTATGTGAAACACTCGCACGAAGAGAGAAAGTATTTCATTACTAGTGCTTAAACACCCGATCGGACTCATAGTATAGCAATGGATGGACTCATTATATGAATTAATAACGAATTTTTATATAGAATATTGAATGCAATTTTGTATATGATTTGTTTTTAATTACTGTTTAGTTTTTTAATATATAAATATTTTGTAAAGAATAAATTAGAAGCTATTTATTATTAACTTATCAACAGTTGTATTAGAGTGGAAAAAATATTGTTTTTTAAACTGAAACTTGACTAAATAAAAGTATAAATTGTTTTTTTAAAAATTAAGTTTTTATTGAGTTTATAAAATGAAATATTAGCAACTATTTGATTTTTCTCTTATGTTAGTTTACACTATAGTGTTACATAAATTTTATTCAAAATATTAATATTTATACATCTGTTATAAACAATATTCTGTATATTGGGTTAAATCAATGTTTTGATTTAATCTCAATCTTATGCTCTAATGGCAATACCTTTTAATTCAATAATATTTCACAATGAATATGTTTGAAAATTTTTATAATAATCGTTTTAAAATAAATTTAGTATACATATTTTATAAACTCAAGAATTAATTTCAAAGTTTGTCAGAATTTTAGGGAGATGAGTGAATCAAGTATAACCATCCCGGTGTCCACTATCTATAAGCCCACATACGCTCACGATTTCTACAAATTACCGGATGAACCGATCAAATACTGGGCCCAACAGGGAATACATATCGGCAGGTGTTTAGGTGAGGGTGCCTTCGCTGCCGTCTATGAGGGCTCGTATGGAGCGGAGGCTATACTTCCCGAAAGTAAGTCTAAATACAAGGGAACTAACTTTGCAGTTAAGGTCATTCATATAGGATATCATCCCTATGTTCCCGGCGAACAAAATAAAGACCAAATAGACGAAAACACACGACAGGAAATGGACGTCACTAATCGGACCGATATATTGCACCCAAATATCATTGAGTATCACTTTGTGGCAGAATATCCGCCCAAATCAGAGAAAGTATGCGATCACGTGTTCATATTCATGGAAAAGGCTATGTTTCCGTTGCAGGATTTATTGAATTGCTTGATTAAATTGAGAGCACAGGTACCCATAAACACCGGTATTACATGGATTCGAGGCATATATAGCGCTGTCCAACACTTGCATAGCGTTAATATCGCTCACAACGATTTGCACAGTTATAACATCTTCGTGTCGGGAAGTATTGACCAACAAAACTGGAATGACTTCCGGTTCACTAATATTCAGCTCAAAATCGGTGACTTCGGGAAGTGTGCAGACATATCGGGACAGTCGGGTCAGAGTCAGAGTCAGAAGCGCTTAGACATCGAGAAAACAGCGTTTATGTTGATCTCAATGTGCGATAGGATTGCCTTTCCTGAAGACATTCGCAAGAAGAATGTGAATCTTCTCAATCAGGTCTACCAAAACAAGCTAACCATTGATCAGTTTCTCGGCTCACAGACACTCTCTGCACCAGAAGGTCTCGACAATTGGACTATACTTTGCACTCAATAGGTCTTCATCTCATACAAGAATAGAGAAATATATTTTTAAATATTCTCAATACTAATAAAACAAAATACAGAATATAATGGGAAGTGTTGTTTATCCTTGCTAGACTATCCATAACTCACATTTCCCATTCCCACTCATTTGTCATAAGTATTTATTGATTAATGATTAAGTGATTAATAAAAGAAACTGAACAGGGTGATTGATTAAACGACAATTATATTGGTATGTCAAATGTCACGAATCAAGACCAATCAAAATAAGCGCTTTTTATTGCATAACACATCACGTGATTTACACATGACTTGTATTGATAACTTTGTTATAAAAGTAAACATAACTTCACTTTTTGGTCATTTAAATCATATTTGACTAATTGTTTCATAAATTAAATGAAATGTCTTTAAGAGTTTGTATCAATAGGTATATATTGGGCTCAAAACTAGACATAACGTACAAAATGAGACGAAAATTAAGTGAAATAAGTGTTGAAAAGATGAAAAATATGCCTAAAAATGAAGTCTTACTCGAAGACAGTTTCACTAAAGTGAAGCACCCATTGGTTACTCGCGAGGCAAGTGGTGAATGTGCGGATCAATTGGTGACAATGTACTGCTGCGGGC